TATTGCTTTATCTTTTTTATTATTTTGTTTCCCCAAGTGCGCGTGGTCTACATCTCAGCAAGTAAGCCACTGGTGATCTTCGAGCACTGTTATTACAGACGAACGAAAACGAAGTGGGTGATTATTTCAGAAAACTTGGAGTCGGAACAGTTGAACACGTACAAATACAGAAACTATGGCTTCGTAAGATAGAGCACTCACGACGAAGCTACAGTTGCTATAGAGACAGCGCATAACACATGGTTTTGTCACAGACAGATTTGGGTATGTTTGTAAAAATTAAATTTTTCATGATTATCATTTTTATATATCTTATTAGCTATCAATGTGTTCATTTAACTGATAAATGATTTTTTTTTTCTTTTTTTCTCTAGTGCCGATGGTCTAACCGCAAGAACGCCGGTGTACGCAACCAGTGATCTTACAGGACTGTCTGTCACAACCCAAACGCGCACCGATGTCTTATCATCTTCACTAATCGATTTTAGTTTAATTAAATTTTTTTGAAGGGAAATTGATGTCTATGTGTTCGATTTTATATGTGTACAAAATAAAACTAATTCGTGATTTTCTGCCAAAATAAACTTAGATCAAAAACATTATATATTCATCAAAATTCATGAGAGAGGGCGGCTCCATGTTTCTCTCGCCGGAGTAGTGTGTGTATGTCGCCGGAGTAGTGTGTATTTATAGTCTAGTTTATTTATATGAATTAAAAAAAAAAAAAAAAACTAAATAGCGAGAATTCCGGTGGTGAAAAACTGGCCGTTACTGTACGGCGATCCGGAAACATCTACGGCGGAGCTGCCGCACTTGTCTTTCCTCTCATCCATAACTATTTGCCTGTATCTGCACTCTGTGCTGCAGAATGCTTTCTCTCCTCTGCATATCATATCATCAATTTAATCATCATCACCTTTATAATTTACTTTCAATTATTTCACATCAGTTTTTTCAAAAAAAAAATTAGGGTTTGAATGAAAAATGGCAATTTCCAATATATATATATATATATTTATACCTGTACATGTATATGTCCTCGCCTTGAAGCTTCTTCCGGCACATATCACACGAGCTCAAAAAATCCGTGGCCGGAGCTCCGGCGACCTCGCCGGATCTCACCGGAGATATGTGGAAGACGCTGCTCTTAGCGGCGGTGCTTTTCTGTATCCGGAAAGGGCTCCTATCATCGCCTCTTCGGCTATCGCAATACACCTTAGTGTAGGACTTGTTCGGAACGTGACACGTCACTATAGTGTACTCTTCCTCGTCCATACTCTCTCTCTCCATCTCCTCAAAGCTCTCGTTGTTTCTCGTCGAACTCTTCGGCGTCGCGATCGGAATTGGGTTCGATAGGCTCAAATTCCGGCTGAACAGCGCCTTGTTCGCCGGAGTTTCGATCCGGCAGTCGCTGGATTTTTCGAGGGCCGCCACTATGCCTAGCCCCACCGCCCCGAAATCGAAACTTCTAAGCCCTTTCGGAGATTGAGCCTTGGAATCGAGTCGGTGAGTAATTGGGCTAGCGGCGACCTCCGCTACCCCGGCTTTATTGCCGGAGATCAAAGATCCGGTGAGTATTCCAATCACCGGTCTCGATTTCTTGCCCAACATGGCTTTTTAGCTAAATTGGGAGATTGATTATTTATTTTTATTTTTTTGATTTGAGCTCTAAAGAAGGGCTCTTTATGAAGCTTCAAAATTTATGTTTGATGGAGTAGTTAATATTACTACTAAGCCCATGGTTTGGTTTTTGAAACATAGAAAAATAAATAAATATATAGACTAAAGTTGCATAATTGAACCACTTTATTCTATTATTTAAATTGGATTCCAATTTCAATTTTTTAAAAATGTCACTTGTCAGTGGGGCGCAATATTTTAAGTAACGTCCATATTCAATGATTGAGACCCGATCCAAGAATTGGGGCCCACGTGGCCGGTTTCTGACTCAGCTCAAGATTCCGGTGAGTTGACGTCGCCGGAGATGGGGGTTACGCGGCGGTTCACTAGTGGAGGTAATTATTACGTTTGGGTGGGGGTGGGCCCCCCTTGATTCATTTTCATGTCTCAACTAATTTTGGACTATTTGGTGGTGGTGCCCCTGGATTCTCACTCACTGGGTTGTGCTGTTCTATGTGTAATTACTGATGTACCCCTCTTTTGCGTCCACGTCCTTCTTTTTACCAAATCTTCTAACTCTTTCAAATATATTATTCTTTTACCAAAAGGAAAAGATGTGAGACCTTTTGTTTTTATTTTAACAAGAAAAAGGAATGCTATATGTGGTTCTAAAAGTGTTCTTTTCTAATTAACATTAATTAATGTTATAGGTGAAATACAACATAATTTTACACTATTAATCTACTGTCATAAGAACACGCACCCATGATGTATTTCACCAAGTGTACGATCTCATAAGCCGTCGTCTTATATTTATATACTACTCTCTCTTTCAATTCAATTCAAATTTGGGAACTAAGTCAATGTACGAGAGCAACATAAACCAATTTTCTAACTTTCTAATTAATTTGCAACTACAATTTTTTCCCATTTTCTAACTTTCTAATTAATTTGCAACTACAATTTTTTTTTTAATGCGTTTGATACTCCTATATACAGTGTTTGATATTATTATATATATATATTTTTAGTGAAATTGGAGTTTATAGTCCAAGTATTCTATTTATTAGAATTATAGGAAAATAATAGGAAAAAATGAAAATAAAAGGTCTTTGTCAATAGAAGTCCAATGAAATAGGGAATGGCATAAAGAGTAATTTGCAGGTGTATTGGATGGCATTTGAATCCAGTTCCCACTGTTCTCTCTTTTAACAGCAAATATATGCTCAAATCATATTGTCCTGGAGCGCATGGTGCTATCGCCGGCCCCACCATATGCTGTATCCAATAACCACTTCCCACGTGTTCGGACTCACAACCACTAATCTTATTTTATTCAATATTTTAATAAATCATTAATTATTTAACTATTCTGTATCTTTCCCTTTTCAAAAAATATATCACTCCATAATAAAATGTATTAAAATGTCCAAAGCTAATATCAAATTTTTAATGGGGAAATTAGTAAATAATATTTTTTAATTAATCATTTTTCATAATCCTTTTGGGTGCTTGTGTTATAAGGCCAATTTTTTTATTTCTTTTAATTGTGTATATATGTAATACTTAATAACTATTTATAAAAACTATTTTATCAAAAGAAAATATCAACCCAATACATTATTAACTAATAATTTATTCAAGTTAAAGTCTGCTCCACTAGGAAATCGGACAACGACATCCACATTATTATTATTAATTGCCATACATATTCTATTTTTTTTTTTTGAAAAATAATAAATTTTCTATATTGTATCTAACATATCTTATTTTTCCAACATTTGTTAGACGAATATGCGATTTTTTATTTTTTTTTTAAATCTGAGTTGGCATGATGTTGACAGCCGTTTGTATTTCTTTAATAGAAACTGATGTTTTTCTAATAATAATAATAATAATTGATATGGGAAAGTGAAGCGATATATGTCGTTTAGCAGCCAAACCGAACGAGCCGTAAGATCAATACTAGTGGTGTTGATCTTCATTCATCGGACATGCTAAAGTATTTTTCAATCCAAATTTCTGAGATATTAACTAATTTGATCGATATCAAAAAAAACAAAAAACTAATTTGATCATCCAATACTGTATAAGCAATGCAACTTACAGTGGCTGCCGAAAGGAGAATCTGTTTCTACTGTCCGTTGAGAGTTCCGAGTGCCTCCTTTACGAGTCTTTGTGCTTCTTCTCTTCTCCTGATTCCCATTTTTTCAGAAACGAAAAAATATATTGTTATGCAATATTATTGCAACATCGCAATTTTTACTAACACGCATGCAACAACAACAACGTAGCAGAAACAAAACCCCCGTATGCTTCATCTGTGAGTGTGTGTGTGTGTGTGTGTGTGTGTGTGTGTGTCTGTGTGTGTGTGTCTGTGTGTGTGTGTGTGTGAAACAACAAATCTTGATCATGAATGATACTGAGAAGATGTGATTCTGCTCTAACACAGCTAAAAGACCGAAGAATCGAAAGAGTAACTGCGTAGAACGACTTATAATGCCAATTTAGTTATTTTTGCTTCGAATAATTCAGCATCTACAGTAAAAAAAAATTATATTTCTACTACCCGAATTAAAGTATTGAGATATGTTCATGATAAGGGGCCAAAAAATTTAAAAATATTGTACCTCTTAATATCCTCAACAGCTTGTTTGCGTCGTTGTATCTGGAGTTCTAGGATATGGATCAGTGTTGCTCTAGCCTGCCAAAACAACGGTATAATGGAAGCTAAATACCCTAATTCTGCTTCTGCCAAATAACAATTTACGATTTTTTTTTTATTTTTTTTTTAACGAATGAGAAGATACTAGTTGACCTGATGTGGACGGAGAGAATTGAGAAGGTGATGTAAGTTCTTGAAAATAAGAGAAATGTCTTCGACTCTCCTAGCATATTGAGATGGCCTCTCTATCAGAACATCGGCAAGCTCCAACAGATGTAGTTGCAATTCTCTGTTAAGTGACCTCAGTTCTTTCCTGAAATCTAAAACGAAAAGAATTTAATCACAATTCACAACGAACGACATTCTTTAACCTACCTAGTTTACATAGTCAGGAATATGAGAGCTGGGATATTTCAACTCCCGGAATAAAAACTACTATGAACCAATTTATTCTTGTTTTTTTATAATAGAAAACTACAATCCCAATCTGATTACAGTCTAAATAATAAATGCCCTGCTTCAAAATAACATTTTGTCTACCAAACTTCATATTTTTCCTGAAATCTAAGATAAAAGAATCTAATCACAATCGACAACGATATTCTTTACCCTAGATTAGATAGTCAGGAACATGAGAGCTGGTATAGCAAGACTTCACAGTTCACAAGCATATAGAAATGACTAACAGATTGGTTAAAAATGGAGGATTTGAACAAAATCTAGGTACCTCGGTCATAAATACCTCACACTATAATGAAGATTATCGGAATTAGTGACTCATTTTGAAAAAGTACTTCAAATATATTAAGCTATTTGCCATCTTTTTAGCTGCTTATGTTAGTCGCAAAGACATCCAATCAATAAAATCAAGCTACCATACGATGATAAGAAAGTACGCAAGCTATAACAGCTGAATATGGGTCCCGAAAAAAAATCATAGGAAGAATAACGAACCATTTGCAAAAGCTGAAAAACAAACACAATGTCTTACTAGTTCACATCTAAATGATCTAATATCAAGTTCAGTATTCATGTGATATAGCAAAGTCATAATAAGGAAATGCTACGACGTTACCAATATTTGTCCCTTTTGGGTACAATTGACGAACACCCTGCTCCTCGAGACCTGGAAGCACGTCATCGGTCTACAGCACAGATTAAAATATAAGGTTAGAACACATAAAAACCTCTCATCCTTCTTTCATTATTGTGAATGATTCCATCATGCTAGAAAGTGTAGCACATGATAATCAAGAGATGGATTCTATATGCCTTTCACACGCATACAAAATAGATGATTGAAGTTGTTTCTTCTTGAAAAAATGGAAAGTTATCTGTAACCAAGAAATAAGAGATGCACTTAAAACGGAGGAATGTTATTCACCGTTAAGTTTGTACACGTACATCACGTAGTTGAGGACACAAATACTAGTGTAATTCTGTACTCTGTAGTAGAACTTCCTTGAGCTTTTCAGGCCGAATAAAGTATATTGATACACAAGATTTTTAGATTAGAACCATCTTCAAATTCTTATGAACCCTAATTAGGATTGAGGTTAATATAAGCACTTCATAGGTTCCGGAACTTCATAGATTGATCATCTATCATGAGTTTTATCAGTTCGACTGGAAGTAGATTTGCAATAAAACTAATCTTAAATACCAATATAATCTTCAAAACTGAACAATCTTTTTTTTTTTTTATCAAACACCTTCAAGCCAGAATGTGATTTACTAGATAAAAGTTCTATACAATTTTTTTTTTCATTTTCCTCCATTTATCCCACTCCCCAAATTCTCATTTAGAAACAGCAGCCGAAAATATCGAATGAAAAAAAAAAAAAAGCGTATGATGATTCCCTACATAACAAGCCAGCATATGCGAAGACTAAAGTGAACAAATTGTATGATACCGTATAACTGGCGCCGTAGAGGACATAGGGGCCTTCGATTGGAGGTGGCGGGGCGGGGGCGGAGTCCGGGTCCTGAGAGTACTCTTTGTAGAGCTTGTAGTACGGCGGAGGCGGTGGGTAAGTCGCCGTTGCCATTGAAATTAAATGATTTCACCAATTAATTTTGTAAACACCTCTCTCTCTTAGGAACTAGGGCGGAGTTTAGCTGTATCGCAAAGGCGTTTCACGGCGGCGGCACTGGTGGTGGATCGGTTTATTTTGTCAGGTGCGACTGAGAATCGAGTAGAGGGTTTTTCTCCGTTTATTTTACTGCAATCTCCTACAGTTCGAATTACGTGGAGGCATAAGTGCGTTTTTTCAATGTCGCGTTTCTACTTCTCTTTCATCTCAAGTAACTGTAGAGCTCTTAAAACACTAGTATTAGTGATAATTTTATGATTAAAATTTTAAAACATCAAATTTAAAAAAGAATTTCTTGAGATAATATCTTAGTTACAAAATAAATTTCAATCTCTTCCTTTCTAGCTTGGGAGTGTGAGGCTTGATAATGTTTGTGTATAATTACTTTGGTTAATTAACCCTAATTTCAATTATTACATGAATTATTTAAACTAAAATTCCTAGTGAAAAGGTCATGGAAGATTATTATAAATACATGAATTCATTATTCATTTGAGGTATGTTATGTATTTTGAAAATTTATGGAGTTTTTTACTCTACAAAGTGTATTGAATATTGACTTGATCGTTCGATATTGATCTTTAGAATAATCGCTGATGAATCGCCTAGTGTTTACATCGATTTTATATATTGTATTGTAGAATTCTATTCGACAGTTGAATTGTTACTACTCATTCACCTTGGCAGCTTTCTCGATTTACTTGAGTTTAGAGATTGGTTAGTTCTAAACATAGTTTCTGAACACCATCATAATGGAAATCAGATGTATCGGATCATGCTAATTAGAAAGACTGAAAAAAAAAAAAGAAATTCAATTTGAAATTATGGTATATGTATTTTAATTTCAACCCCTAACAAAATTTGAAAATATATTAAAATCAAGAATATTATTCCAAGATCGAATATCTCATAATCAAGATCGACATAACTAAAAATTGCATTCCAATTTCTACTTAGATCAATTTTCACTAATCCTTTCAGATCAAATGGGTGATAATATCATATAATGCTTCTTGTACAACTTGTGGTTGGGACAGGTGAAGATTCTTTAATAAAAGAGATTATAAAACGTGTTTAATTAAGTAACGACAAAGATTCATAAAGGCTGAAAATTGAATGGCTAAAACAGTCCTTATTATGGGCCCATGGGCCCCGCCACTTGTGTATTTTAGCAGTCGCCACATATCAATGCTGGCCCGATTTATAATTCGAAGCCCAAACAAATTGCACCGTAGCTGCAATATTTTAATTTTTTTTTATTTCTTTATTCCCTCCCACCCCACAACTTGTGTCCACGTGTCTTCGTATGAATATTGATATAGTTTATTGAGTCAACCCAGTAAGCTAATGAGTATTTCGATCACATAAAATATCTGACTTGTCATTCGCCTACAAGATTATTAATAAATGGCCCGACTTCATTAATTAGAGAATTTACTAATTATATTTAGATATCTACCCTAATAAGAATTATATTAATCGCATTATCATATATGACTCACTTTTACAAGGTAGCCTTACGTATAATACCTATAACTCTTATTGGTCTTTGTATGACTTGAGCGTCAGATGAGTTTTCGTCGGATCAACTTCTCGCAGGTTCAAGACTCCGGCGTTCTACAGTTCCACATCGATGAAACTTCGACTCAGATCACCTACTCACGTGCAGTGACCTACCATCAAATTTTCGCCATGCAGTGTGATCTACCCTTACGTTCCAATCATATAGCAACCTACCTACCCTACTACTTACGTGCAGTGATTTACTAGTGCGTTCCCATTTAATATACCCAAGGTGAGTGATACTATATCGTATATGATTGATTATATATTTTTAACACAGCAAGACACACGAATTGAATCAAATTATTCGCACTAAAAGTTCGTTTGATTTTGTTCATTAAGTAATCAATTAAAATCATATACTTTGTGTTATCATTGAAGAAACTTATTGAACTATCAAATTAAAATAAGTTAAAGATAGGTTAAGAATTGAAATAATATTAATAATGAAATATAACTTTAATTTTGCATGGTAAAAAAGTGGGTGGGCCATACAAAAATTGTTCCATCCACCGTAGTAGACTAGTAGTAAAGAATTAAAAAAAAAAATGAAAGAACACTTCCTAGTATGTGATTGTGAAAAGAAAAAAAAAAAAAAACAGGTCGAAAATTCCAGCTGATTTTTTTTCCAGAATTTATGACCCGAAAAAAAAATATATATATATCCAATTTAGAAATTCCAAAGAAATGAAGGGTCTGAAGATAATAATTCGTCATTGTTGTCGGGCCAGTAATCAACGTTGGGCAAATTTGGCATAAAAAAATCAGCCGATAAATCGTCAAGTCCCGGAAATAGCCCGAAATCAGGGACGTAATTATCCGTGCCCACAGCCAAAAACTGGTCCAGGAAGTCATTATCGAGGGGTATTCCCGTCATTTCACAATCCATCTGAGCCGGCTCGTCCGACACAGACGGACAAGGTGACTCGGCATGCTGTAACAATAACTCGGAAGACGACGACACTGAATCGGACAGCGAAGAATCCAAACAGTCGACCCGACCCGAATTCGAGCTGCAGGTCCGTTGAACTTGAGCCGCGACCTCCGCATGTGCGAACCTGAGGCCGCGACCTGGATCTCGACCGGCGTCATGGACCTGCCGCCGGCAATCTCCGGTGGACTATCGGGGAAATTGAACTTGGCGTTGGCGCCGCGGAGGCAGAAGAGAGCCGCGTCGAAAGCACGCGCCGCCTTCTCAGCCGTGTCGAAGGAGCCGAGCCAGATCCTCTCACGGCTATTGGGGAGCCTGATTTCGGACACGTATTTGCCCCACTTGCGCTTCCTCACTCCCTTGAACTTGCAGGAAGAAGACGAAGAAGAAGTTTGATTATTGCAGACGACACTCTTTAATATTGATAGCTGCTGATCCTTGTCATTCACTGATGATTTCACCATATCAAAACTTGATGTAATTATTATTATTATTATTAAATTATTTATTTAATAGTTTGTTGTTGTATGTTGTTGTTGTTTTTTTGAATAGAGAATGTTGTTTGGAGATGGGTAAAAATGGCGGCTTTGATGCGTGTATATATATGTGTATGGAGAGTGGGGATCGGAGTGAAGAAGAAGAGTGTGGATGAGGTGGGTCAACACAGAGGAAACAAGGGCGTGTTTGATATATAAATTATAATTAAAGTTAAAAAAGATTGGACACATGCTGAAATCAAATACAAATTATTAATTTATTATTATATATGTAATAGTTCAAATCATGTTTATTTGTTTTTACGCGGTGGTATATTGAGAGCACATGCGGGAATTCGACTTCCACGTGGACTAATCGATGCATCGAGGAAGCCACTTTGTTTTTACTGCTTACATAAGTTTTTTTTTTTTTTTTTCTTCTTTTTTTTTAATTTCTTTTGAGTAAGTGTGTTATTAGATGGGTTTGGGTTTGGGCCCAACTGTAATGTATGATCAATTGGGCCGTACATAAGACTACTCATGTTTGAGTAATTATATATAGCCCCTCAATAATGAATTTTCTTACACGTCCACCCTTATAGTGTCAAATTCAATAAAATTTTCTATATTTTGTGGAATTTTCTCTAGTTTTTACTCGTATTGAAATGCAGTTTCTAATACACAACAATCTGATATTAACAAGTTAAGAACATATCTTATGTCTGTTTCAGCATATGAAGCTGGGATGAGGTAAAACGCATACAAACTGGAGAATATTGCACATAATCTAGAAGATTCCACTAAAGTTGACACTGCAAGGGTAGACATGTAAGAAGAGTAATAGTCGAGGAGGGTCGATGTAATTACCAACCATGAAGATATTTTTTCGTAATTTGACATTACCCTTGGAAATTTGACGTAATTTACCATGCATGAGTTGTTGAATGAATAAATTATTATTGTTAATTAATAACTAGTATACTCCCTCTATTCCACAATAACTGTCTTTAAAAAAAAAAAATTGTTACATATTATTTGTCACTTTAGATTTCCAATACTACATTAAATGCATTTTTTCCTGTTTTAACCTTATTAATTCAACTATAAGTATATTAACTCTCTCTTATCACATCATTAAATAATCAATGTTATTTTAGTTTTTCTAATATATTTAAGATACATTTATTGAGCTTCTTAATCTTTGTGCAAAGTCAAAAACGACACTTAATAGAGAACTGAGGGAGTATCTTCCAATGTGATGCATGAAAAAATAAGTAATAACAAATTGTAATAGAAAAAAACTTGCTCGCTTTGTAATAGTTCAAGAGTCGTACTCAAACATTGGCTCGTGATTTTTATTTATTTACTATCATTAGGGTATAATACAAATATGAGTAATAATATTAAATTGTCTGATTCCATACTGGTTTTGGCTGTTCACATTATACTAATAAAAATAAATAATTAATTAATATATTGGAAATGACAATATATTCTATTATTGTTCGTGAAAATGAAAGAAACCAAAGGAAGTCCCAAAACATTGAAGCTGTAGATGGAATCAATGCTTAGCAAGAAGCATCACTGTCATAAAAATAAGTGATTTTTTTCTCCTTCCAAACAGGCGCAGCAGAAAAAACATTTAGGGTCCATTTGGATGGAGGGATTTGGGGAGGGATTTGATTTGGGGAAGGGATTTGAAATGACTCCAATTTTGGAGTCATTTGAAATCCATCACTATTGCTCCAAAATCAACTAAAAAGGAGGGGTGGGGATA